CCTGTTTGGTTGGTGAGTTTTTTAGGTGATTTATCTAAAATTTTACCTAACTTATAATAGAATTTATATAAACCCATCCCTCCCAGCGGCATTACACTTGGACTTTTTCTTCCTTTCCTTCCTAGGTTAGGATCTTTTCTATTGGATTTCTCTCAATTGCTCTCTCAATTTATTTATAAAGTCAATGGTCAAAATGGTTATTAAACTATTCACAATGGCATGGGTTGGCCACCAAATTTTTTTTTTGGCCAAAAAAGTCACTCAACTCTTCAAAATGAGCCTTCAGGATCATTTTGACCAATTTAGCCAGTAAACCAACCAGAAAAAAAACAAACTTGACCTACTATTATAGGTTCTCAAGGGTAAAAACACAAATTTTCTTTTAAAAAAACTTTAGGGGTTTATCCATATTTTGGCCAAACTTCATAGTAGGTATATGCAATTAACAAAAAGAAATCACAAACAATATCATCTTCTTCCTCTTCCTCCTCCACCACCCAACTACCCACCTACTGTAATTGTTACACAACCCACTCTCTCTCCTTCCCTATTGTCCCCTCCTCTCCCTTACTCCTCCTCCTCTTCCCTCCTTCCCTTGCAACCAAATCTAAATTTCAAGATATCAACTCCGTGGAACCCTCGAACTAGGTAATGAAGAAATCATAGGCTAAGTAGAGAGAAATAGCAAAAACCCATCTCTCAGCTGCTTCATTCTATCAAGCTAAAACTATATGAGCAAAACAGAAAAAAAAAGCCTCAAATCTGTCAAAAAGTCATGCAAAGAGGGAAAAATGATGCCATGGCTGCAAGTCCTAGTGCATTTGAACATGGATAGCCCATTTCAAATAATGCCATTAGGGGTTTGCCCAGCCAAGTTACAGGACACGTAAATTTGATGCCCAATTTACAACTCAAAGAGGAAGAGAAGTATCATCACAGCCTCGTATCAAACAAGAAGACAAAAAAGAAAACGATGACGATGACGATGACGGTGATGATCTTGATGTAGGGAAAGAGTGAACTGATGAAGTATTGCTTTCTCTCTTCTTTTCTTTTTTGAAGGGCTATTGAGGGAAAATGAGGGAATGGGAAGGGAGGAAGGGAGGGGGAAGGGAAGTGGAAGAGAAATGGATGGTGGTTAGGAAGAAAGAGGATAGAAAGGAGGAAGAGGGGAAGAGAGGAAAGAAGTTGGCGGCGAGTGGTGAAGAGGGAAGAGAAGAGAAGGTGGCAGGAAGGTAGCAGAGGGTGGTGCTATGATGGAGATTGAGAAAAAGAGTAAGGTGGCATTATTTGGACATTTTGCCCCTAAAAAGTTGCAGTTCTGGTTAATTTAGCGAAAAGTGATCTAAAAGTCTCGTTTTAACGAGTTGAGCAACTTTTTTGACTAAAATAAAATCATGTCCAATTCATGCCATTTTGAATAGTTTAGTGGCCATTTTTGTCATTTACTCTTATTTATGTTTAAATTTAGATAATGTTATAATATCATGTGATTATGTCATTACTTTCCTTTTGATCTCTAGATTAACAAACAAAAAAATAATATTTTTTGAGAATATTTTGACATTTAGTTTACATAAAATATTTGAACGGTGAAAAATGGGTCATTATTGTGACAAAATTTGCAATGATTAATCGAAAGGCAAAACATGGTCAATTTTATAAAAAATTTTATGTACAATTAATGTGAGTAATGAAATATATTATGAACAGTATTGATTTTTGAAAATAAATTTTAAATTAATTTTATTGAAGGGGTAAAAAACCTGGGGAGCCCCTAAAATATCACTGTTTTCACTTTTAGCCCTTGATCTATTTTTTGTCTCCAATTGACCCCTAAACAATTAAAAGTTCATAGTTTAAGAATTTCTAACCATTTTAGACATAAGTCCAATCGGAACTAAAGGGCATCTTTGTCCAACCTTAATCAAAGTATCGAGACTTAATCAAAAGCATCAATAGCAGGAGTAGAAGTATTCAGAAAAGAAAACCCTTCATTTTCCTTAAACTTTGCATCAAATTTCTCCACAAAATGCCCAAATTCATTGATTACATACTTGAAAGAGACATGAAAAATCTGATGAAACATTGGCCACTTAAGTATGAAATCAATGAATTTGGGAATTTTGTGAAAAAATCTCGTGCAGAGTTCAAGGAGAATGAAGGGTTTTCTCTTCTCAAGATTTCTACTCCTATTCTCAATACTTTTGATTAAGTTTGCGATACTTTTAATCAAGGTTGAACAAAAATGCTCTTCGATTCTAGCTGGACTAATGTCTAAAATGGCAAGAAGTTTTTAAATTATACACTTTTAATTGGTCAAGAGTTAGTCGGAGATAAAAAAAAAAAAATAGATCAGAAGCCAAAAGTGGAACCAATAGTGATAGTTTAAGGGCTCTCCAGGCATTTTACTCTTGTAAGAGTGTAATGGAAAAAATTTCTCTTTAATGCAATGGAGAGAAGTCTAGTCCCTCTCTTCTACTTGCCACCCCTTGAAAAAAAACTCTTACTAGAAAATTATAGTGCATAGAAAACTCTCAATAAAAATCCTAAGAAAGGGAAAATTAAGCTTTTTGTCATTTTTAATAATGATGAATTGATGACATTTCACATTGATTTATCTGGTGGATTCGATCTCAAACTAATGGAGAACAAAGTCCACCTTGTAAGACTACAGTTTCATTTGGATTAGCTGTTTTTTACGGTATTTTTAAAATATTTTACTGTAACAGTGTACATGAAAAACTTTTTACTATAGATATTTTTCGTGATATTTTTGGAGTTACTTTTGGGATATATTTTGGAGTATTTTTAAAATTTAAAAATTTTTGTGATATTTTTTAAAAATTACCACCACCACCACCCCCTTCCTTCTCCTCCTTCTCTTTCTTCCTCCTCCCTTCCTCCTCCCATTTTTCTCTTCCATTTCTTTTCTCCCCTCCTCCCTTCCCTTTCTCCACCATGCCTCACCCCTTCCCTTTTCCCGCCACGCCTCACCCCTCCCCTCCCCCCCCAGATTCGGTTGAGACCGGATTGAGACCTCCGGTCATGACATTTCGACATTTTACGATCTGGTTGTGGCCAGATCATAACCTCTGGTCGAGGCCAGATTTAGGGGGGAAAGGGAGGGATGAGGCGTGATTGGAAAGGGGAGGGAAAGGGGAAAAGAGAAGGGGAGGAGGAAGATCGGAGAAGGAGAGGAGGAGGAGGAAGAAAGAGAGGGAGGAGAAGAGAAGGGAGGGGACAGTGGCAGTGGTGGGTAGGAATAGTGGTGATGGGTGGTGGTGATAAATGGAAGAAAAAAAAATGGTGTATATTTTATATTTTATTTTTTTTTGTAGATTTGGAATTGTTTTTGATATATTGTATAAATATGGTATTTTTTATTGTGTACTACTGTAATATTGTACATGAAAAACTTGTTTTCAAAAAATGAGAAATCCAAACGCAGTAGACGGAAAATACCGAAGTTGTTGAATGTTACACACACATCAACTATTCATATTCGATTTAGCAGAGTGTAACCAAATGTGTGGTATATTCAGATGATGCTATTTATTAAAAAAAAATCTCAGAATTGATGTTTATTATCCATCTTCTGTCAAAGTCGAATTTAGTCGTCTACGAATTGGGAAGATTATTGATCATCTCTGATACACTATATCAAACAGCAGAATGACTAGGAAGTTTACTTGTACAAGCAAATACTCCTGAACAAATGGCCCGTAAGAGGTCATACAAGAGATCTTTCTTGACTTGGTAAGAAAACCTTTAAAGTTTACACTGGCTTTTCAGATTAACATAATTCACGAAATTCCTTTCTTTTTCTTTCTTTTTGGGTAAATCATAAGAATCCATTTCGATAACATTTTACAGATGTACACTTAGGATGCGTTTGATAAAATTAAAATTTAAAAATTAAAATTTGAAATCTGAAATCTAAAGTTTGAATATATTAAATTATTGAATTATTAAGTATTAAATCAAATACATTTGAGCGTATATCACATTCAATGATAACTGAATACCTTATCATTGATTTTTGAAAGCAAGTTTTTCCTACGAAATTCAGTACCATTTATTTAATTTAGATGTTCAATTTTTGGTTATCAAATACATCTGAACATATTAAGAACTGAATTAATTAAATTTAAGTACTAAATTGGATTATCAAACATGGCCTTACTTTGGCTCAATAAAATATCAATGAAAGGTTGGCTGAAAATAATTCTTGCTTTGATAGTAAGTTCTAGGTTAATGTAGTTGAGGGGAGAGTTAAGTTGGATTGGATGATAAAGTGGGAGGGATTGTAAGTAGGAGGTCATGAATTCAAAACTTTCCACTTACCAAAAAAAAAATAATTTTTTTTGAGGTGAAAATTAATTAGTCAAATGAATGATCCATGATGCCAAACATTAGGAATTCAACTTCTAATTGTTTCTGATCTCCTTTATAGGTACTCTTTCACGCTTTCTAATTGTCACAGTCGTTATGCATAAATGCAAAACTGTAGGCTGCTCGCTGACCATTTCTGTATTAAGTTTTGACAACGAAGTTTACCTAATTTTCCTTACAGTTGTACCAATAAAATTAAGTTCATTTGTACCAAAAAAACAGAACAACGAAGTTTAGCTCAAACGTGTTCCCAATCAATCTTTTATCATTCACTCATCAGTTTGTTGCATATTAATCCATCTTTGCCTTCACAGCTGAGGAAATTTTCAATTTCAAATACCATGTGGGCATTTTGGACATCAAGATTAGCAAACATTTTTCTACTGCTCCAATTTGCCATGAGCTTTCCAGCAATCCACGTTTCACTTTCAGCTGCATAACAATTTCAAAATGAGACTGATCGCCTTGCTTTGCTTGAATTCAAGCATCAGATATATGACGACCCGTTTGGAGTGCTCAATTCCTGGAACCACTCACAACACCACTGCCAGTGGGAAGGAGTCACATGTAGTACTCGACATCAAAGGGTCGTAGCCTTGACTCTGATGGATAGGCAGTTATCTGGAACTATGTCTCCTCACGTCGGAAATCTAAGCTTCATGCGGTTCATCCAGCTTGGGGAGAATCAATTCCATGGTGAGATTCCCCAAGAATTCGGTCGACTCTTCAGGCTAAGAGTTTTGAACCTGTCAAGTAACGCACTCGGTGGAAAAATCCCAGCAAACCTGAGCTACTGCTCACAGATGATAACTATTAGCTTAAACAGGAACAAGCTCGAAGGCAAAATTCCAATTGTTCAGCTGAGCAATTTGAAGAAGCTTGAAAATTTTCATCTTCATACGAACAATTTGACAGGTGAGATTCCCTCCTCCATCGGGAACTTATCATCACTTGCTCTAGGCTTCAACAATCTGGAGGGAAATTTGCCCAGCGAGATGGGGCTCTTAAAAAAATTTGCTATATTAACAGCTGGAGGAAATAAACTATCTTGTATAATCCCTGCCTCTATCTTTAATTGTTCAGCCATTATTGCCATTTCAGTACCCGCCAATTCCTTTCATGGCAATCTCCCAACCAACATAGGTCTCACCCTTCCAAATTTGGAAGGATTATATCTCGGGGCAAACAAATTCTATGGAAACTTTGCAACTTCAATCACCAATGCTTCTGGCTTGAGGTACTTGACCTTTCCAGAAATAAGTTTGAAGGCCAAATTCCAGCTAATTTAGGAGATCTCACAAATCTTATAGTATTTGATCTTTATGATAATCTCTTCGGCAGTAAATCTACCGGAGATTTAGATTTTGTTGCATCATTGATCAACTGCAGTAATCTAAGATCTCTTTCATTGAGTGGCAATGAATTTGGTGGTAATATACCTAAGGTCATGGCCAATCTCTCAAATCAACTGGCTGAAATGTACTTGAGAGCAAACCAACTGTCGGGAACCATTCCAGAAGGAATTGGAAATTTTGTCAACGTACATATTCTTAGCCTTGAAGAAAACTCTCTTTCTGGGGCCATTCCAAGAGATATTGGTAAATTACAAAATTTACGTCGTCTGCGGCTAGACCATAATGAATTTGCAGGACAGATAGTCTCTACTTTAAGTAACAGCACCACCCTGTACCATCTGGATCTATCAACCAACCATTTTGAAGGGGGCAATGTATTTGACAATGTTCTTGTGAACTATCAAAATTTGCAATATCTGGATATATCTCAAAACAATCATCACTGGAATTATATCACCACATTTTTTGCAGACACAATCATCGCTGATATATATGAAATTAGGTGAAAATTCGTTTAGCGGTTCTCTGCCGCCTGAAATTGGAAAGCTTATACATTTGGTGGATTTCAATGTTTCCCACAACCACCTTGTTGGAGATATACCCTTGTCACTTGCTGATTGTTCAAATCTGGAGAATCTTTCTATGCAAGCCAATTTTTTCCAAGGTACAATTCCACCAAATTTGGCTTCTTTGAAGAGCATCCAGCAATTAGACCTTTCAAGTAATAAGTTGACTGGTCCAATACCAAAAGAACTTGAGAAGCTCCAATTTTTGAGATACTTAAACCTTTCCTATAACGACATTGAGGGCGAGATACCAAACACAGGATTTTTCAGCAATGCGAGTCAAATATCATTGATTGGCAACAACAAACTCTGTGGAGGCATTCCAGAATTGGAGTTCCCACCTTGCCCAGTGATTAAGGGGAAAAACAGAGGAAAGCTTAACGTTATCATATTGCTGTCCATTGTTTTACCTGCAACTCTGGTTCTCGGTATATTGTTGTTATATTTCTTGGCATATCAAAACAGAGAAAGAAGAGTGGCAGCCCGGGTCTCTAGCATGTCCACAAGAGTCGATAAGCATTTACAAATTTCTTACCATGAACTTCATCGTGTAACTTCAGGATTTTCTCCGGAAAACTTAATTGGCTCAGGTAACTTTGGAACTGTCTATAAAGGAAGGCTAGGAGAACATGGCAATAAGCTTGTAGCGGTCAAAGTTCTTGATCTTCAAAAGAATGGGGCTTCCAAAAGTTTTAAAGCCGAGTGCAAAACATTGAGAAATATTCGCCATAGAAACGTCGTCTCTATCATGAGTTATTGCTCCAGTATTGATTCCAAGGGTCATGAATTCAAAGCTCTAGTCTATGAGTTTATGGAAAATGGGAATCTGGACTTGTGGTTGCATCCTTCAGAGACAACTGATCAGGCAACAAGCTCAAGAAGCCTTAATCTTCTTCAGATGCTAAATATTGCAATTGATGTGGCTTCAGCATTGCAATATCTTCACAACCACTGCGAAGCAGAGATTGTTCATTGTGATCTAAAACCAAGTAACATTCTTCTTGACAATGATCTTGTTGCACATGTGGGTGATTTTGGATTGGCAAGGCTTCTCCCAAAACCCATCAACATATCTTCCGAGCAGGGAACCAGCAGTACTATTGCTATTAAAGGAACAATCGGTTACGCAGCCCCAGGTAAATACAAATTCTTATGGTCACTTAAATTGTACACAAACTATTAAGGTTTAGACATACAAAAAAACATAGTACTATTATTTGGCTCTTTAACTCATTCTTTATTTCATTGTGAAGCGGAGTAAAGGACTTTGGGAGATACAATATCTGATTCTCTTTATTTTATTTTTTTTCCTTCTCAATTTTGTCATGTCACACTTTCTCTCCATTCATCTCGTTTAGCATATTTAGAATAACTTTTTAAAATCACTTTTAACTCATTCTTTGATTTTTTTTAATATGTATATATACATATACATATATATATATATTGTTCATTTATCATTTATCATTTTCAACCGTGGATTTATCATATCATTTGATAATTGCATGAATAATCAAACTCATAGAGTATAGGTTAACAAATATATTCATATGGAAATAGCCGTAAATAATTGATTCAGTTTATGTCCCTTAAAATAATTTTCCCTTTACTTTTTTAGGTTTTCTTGTATAACATAACAATAATATATCTAAAAACAAAAATACAGAGTATGGAATGGGTGTTGCGGCATCAACTCTGGGGGATGTCTACAGCTATGGAATTCTTTTGCTAGAGATGATCACAAGGAAAAGACCAACAGATGATATGTTTATGGACGAGCTTGATCTACATAATTTTGTTAATAGGGCCTTGCCTGGACACGTTTATGAGATCATGGATCCCTTGCTTCTTTCTAAATCAGGAGATGAAAACAAAAGAATGACTCCTAGAGGGGATAAAACTGATGGTGGAAGAGAGATGGAGTGTGTTATTTCCCTGTTGAAAATCGGGCTCAAATGCTCAGAGAAATCGCCAAATGATCGGATGCACATGAATGAAGTTGTCGGAAAATTACATCATATTAAGGATGTTTTTCTTGGTGTCAGGGCATATCAAAAAAATCTTGAACCTTAATAGCCACAGGTACATACAAGAATTTAATACGGTTCAGAAGTTGAAGTTCATTTCTTCTATTTTAGATGAGCAATTTTATTATTGATATCGTCTTATAAGCTAACTCATTCTATTATTCGGAATCTATTTTAGCTAAAAGAAGAAAAAAAAGGAAACAAAGCAAAAGTTTATGTGTTGTTCGCATGGAAAAGGATGACTTCTTTCTGGTACTAATGCATAAAAGCTTGATTTGCAGCTGTTTGTTTGTTGGTCTGAATCTCCGAACTGAAGTTGATGAGTTGATGACGAAATTGGATGTTTTGAACAACATTATGGTTTGGGTCTTATGCTTCTGTAATTTACATTATGTAATAAATTGTACTACTTTATTACAATGCATTGCATACTCTTGCTTCTATTAAGCATGCCCTTCCATATGAATGATGAGAACGACACCAAGGGATAGAAGGTGGGAATCAATTGTACGAAAATTACGTTGCAGCATTGCCAGATGATCGGCTGCCTTCACTTTAGACAATGTTTCTGATCACTTATTCGGATGAAACAAAACTTTGAAGAGTTGTTTGATCATTGACTATAAGATACGATTCCTAAATCACAACTATTCTAACTGCAGAGAATTGATTTATTGCAGAAAATCATTCTTCACATTTTAGAATACTCTAAAACTACTCTCTATTGTTTTAACCAGTTTGTCATATTAGTGTACATTGTAGACAAACAAACTTTGCCTTATCCTAAAGGATATATATCCTTTGTATTGAACATTAATAGAAGACAAATCTAGCATAAGAAGGAAAAGTGATTGTACAATTTACAATTTGAAACCTTTTCTTTCTTTGTTCATCTTCCTAGTATTTACACCAAAGTCTCTAATCCTTGCAGAGTAGACATGCATGTACTAAAACACAAGCTTAAAATTATAGACTTCAAAAAGTAAGTCAGCACAGCAACTGTTTTGGTCCTTCCTATCAAGTAGTTGAATGAAATGGATATAGACCATCAATATTTTGGTCCTTCCCCCTTATTGCAGAGACAAAGTCATTTAGCAGACTGACTGTTATAGACCTGAAAGAGTAATAAATTGTTAATTAGAAGATGAGGGAAAAAAATAAAAATAAGACTTTAGGTCAAGAGAGGAGAATACATTTTCTCCAATCTCAGATAAATTATTTGTGCTAATTGACAAAGTATTAGCTCAGTTTCCTGTGCTTGTGAAGACTTAGAGCAGAGCAAGTAAGCTGCCGGCTACCAAAAGTCACGAACGGCAACACTCTAATTGGCTTCCAGTGTTCTACAAAAGAACAAAAGTGGGAAAACAATAGGGTTAATTGCATTAAGCCCCCTAACAATTTGGTCCCAAAATCACTTCGTCCCCTGACGAATCACTTTACCCCATGGATTGAATGTTCAGTGAATCAACCCACTTACGTTTAAGTTAGCAATTGTAATTTACCATCATGAATTGTGATTACGGTTGCGCTTAGCCCTCCTAAAGACTTATTTACATAATTTACCTCTAAATTCATGTTTATGGAGGAATTAAACTTAATATTAAACTTATTTTCTTTTTTCATATTTTCCTTTTACGTCTTTGCCTTTTTTGTTTTTTATCGTTTCGATTAGTTCTACGTCCTTGCAACACAATTACCATATAAATGATTGTAATGTAAAGTTTAGTTTTCTTTATTTTCTGCACATCATTCTTTTGTTTTCGTAGAAGTTGCTTATTCATTAATGATTATTCACAAACTCCAGAGTTAACTTTGTTGTAACTTGTAGTTAGTTTAGTTTGTTGCTTGTATCACAAACAATGTGCAATCTAGATATTAAACATATTTAAATACAAATATAAAGCTTAGAACTTATAATTAATTAATTACTACCAGTGATATAATAGACTTCAATATAACGAGGGAATGCAGACAAAACAAAAATAAAAGAAAAAATAAGAGGCAGAAAAGAAATTAAAGATTAAAAGGAAAGCTAAAAAGACAAAAATAATTAAAACAATAAGGGTAAATTGCATATAAAGTTCTTTAGGGACACGGTCATAGTTCATGGGGACAAATGCAACGATTTTTTTTTCTTTTTTCCTTTTTTTTTTACCTTTATGGTTGAAAATGAGGGAAATCTTGAAAATCCAGCCAAATTGCAATCACTGTCATAATTATGTTTCTAGCTATATCTGCATAATTACGTTTTTTTTTTATAAAATTTTTCAAAATTTTCTTCATAGAAAAAGGTGTAATTAAATCTGAAGTCAAGATTAAAATGGAATTGAGTGGCTCATAGAAAGTGTAAATCATCAATTACAATAGCCACAAAATTTTTTTTCTTTGCCATGCTGTTGATCAGAATCAACTTTTTCAGAGCATGAGTTGAAATTGGAGGCATCAACTCAAGGTGATGTCTACAGTTATGGCATGCTTTTGCTAGAGATGTTCTCAGGAAAGGGACCATTTGTCTTTTTCTAATGGATGCCTTTGCACCAACCGATGAAATTTTCAATAAATCCTGAATAAAAATATAGATAAAGGAATTTGATCCCTTAATCTACATCGAAGAAGAACTTTAAAACTCTTCCTAGTGGCCAGCTACTCTAGAAGTAGTTGGTTGGCGCCTGTTACATTTGTTGATGACTAGGATTTGCATAACTATGTTAAGATGGCTTTGCCTGAACAAGCTTGTTAGATCGTGGACCTTTGCTACTTGTAGAAGAAATAGAACAAAATGTTAGGTCTGGTCCTATGAAATTGACTAACGAAAACAATAGGATTTTTGGCAAAGCAAATAAAAAATATAGGATTTTAAGTGGTTCGGTTGAATTGACCTACGTCCACGGATGAAGGAGTGTTAGGAAATTGGCTTAATTTCTTTTTAGGTAGAATTCTTGTTTTGTGTGGAAGTAACTAATTTCCTAATTGGTTTTAGTTACTTGAAGTAGTAATCAAGTAAAGCCCTATTTAACTAGATGCTATTTCCTACTCTATATGAGTTTAGGAAATAGTATTGGTTTCCAATTGTTATTTGGTTTTTTGGCAGTAATATTCTTTATAGATAGGTAGGTTGGCATACTACAAAGACACACAAGAAAAGAGTGAGAAAGTTCTTAGTGGGTAAGAGAGTTATACAAGAGTTGGGGCTTGGGAATCAAGTTGTAATCTTGTGGTGTTTTTCTCTCATAGTAAAAACAAGTATTTCTCTCCGTGGACGTAGGCTTGGTGATTAAGCCGAACCACGTTAATTCTTGTGCATTGCTCATCGTTCGTGCTAGATATAGTTTTCTATTAAATTGTTGGCATTTTCCTTTTTCAAATAATTGGCCTGATATCCTAACAAGTGGTATCAGAGTTCCATTGGGGTTTTGGTTAATTATTTGAAATTGAGTGGGTGGTTGTATACCATAGGGTTTGGAACTATACAGTTTCCAATTCAACCGTTTAATAGAACTATAAGTTTCACTCTTTGGCAAAGAAGAATGAAGGATGTTCTAGTTCAACAAGGCTTGGCAAAAGCGTTGAATGGAAAGAACAAGAAACCAGAAAGCATGAAGGATGATGAGTTTGAGGAGTTGGACGCAAGGTGTGCGAGTACGATTCGACTCTATGTGGCGGACAACATCATAAATAATGTGACAGATGAGGAAGATTCTGCAGCAGACCTCTGGAAAAATTGAAAAAGCTTTATCTGGCTAAAAGCTTATCCAATAAGTTGTATCTAAAGCGGCAACTTTATACACTAAAGATGGTAGAGGGTGGCAGCCTCATGGATCACATGAATACGTTCAACGGAATTTTGGATCAACTCCAAAAGGTTGGCGTATATATTGAGGAAGAAGATAAGACCCTTTTACTTCTTACCTCAGTCTCTGATTCTTACGAAAGTGTCGTGACAATCCTGTTGTATGGGAAGGACACTTTAGAGTTTGAGAATGTGCAGTCTTCTTTGTTGGATCATGAAAAACAAAGGAAGGCAAACCAGAATGTGACACAAGAAGCTGCGTTAATTGCTCGAGGTGAGAATAAAAGAGGAAAACAATTTGGCGGTGAATCTAAGGCAGGTGGTTCAAAGACCAGAGAAAGGGTGGAATCCAGTGTTTTGGTTGTCATGAGTTTGGCCATATCAAAAGATATTGCCCTCATCGAAAGAAAAATGATGAGAATGACTATGATAATGTTGCTGGATATGCATCAGGTGGAGATATTTTTACAATCTCCAAAAGTAATAATACTTCTTCTCGTGATGGTTGGATTTTAGATTCTGGATGTGTTTCACATGTTTGCTCCAGGTTAAATTATTTTGATACTCTCCAAAGAAAGAAGGCAGGTTTTTAGTCATTGGGTGATGGATCTACTTGTCAAGTCAAAGGTGTTGGAGTGGTGAAAATCAAAATGTTGAATGGAGAGATTCGATCTTTGGGTGGTGTGGCTTATGTCCCAAAGTTACGAAGTAATCTAATTTCTTTGAGCCAATTAGACTCCGAGGGTTATCATTTTTCTGCTGCAGGTGGAGTCTTGAAAATCACACATGGCGAGACGGTCTTGTTGATGGGGAAAAAGTATGGTAATCTGTACCATTTGAATACCTCAATGGATTGGGAGCGGAAGGGGATCCCGGAATGCTCTCAAATTACAAATGGTGGTGAGAGGAAAAGTCCTGCTATGCGAGAGGGTGAATTGAGACCCCTCTCACGAGTCAACTAGATGTTGGAATCGGTTAGCTACACACGCTCATTTGCCGATTGAATCAGTTGAAAACAAGACCGTCTTAATTCGGGTGTGTAGTTAGGCACCAAGGTACTTGGTGAGAAAAGGCAAATGGAGTTTTTTTTGGATGGTTTGCTGTGTTTGCTAAAAGAAATTTTCGCCAAGGTGGAGATTTGTTAGGAAATTGGTTTAATTTCTTTTTAGGTAGTGATAGGGTGTTAATTGTTAGTTATTTTATTATTAATTTCCCCTTTGTCCTTGCCAAATGTGGTTTTAAATTAGTAATATTTACTTATATTTGGTATTTGGAATCAATTTCAGGGAGTGGAACAGAAAACTACAAAAAAGAGGGACTTTCTAAAAATAATTGAGACTTCAAACAAGCCACAAACCTGGCCCGCATAGTGATACGGACGGATTGTATTTCTTTTGGCTGATTGGGAGTGTCTTGGGTACTAAGAGTCCTAAGAGCAATGAAAGACGAGAGAAAGAGGAAACATCAAGAGTCCTTGCCTGTTGTACTTTGATTTTGAATATGCAGCGGGGACCACGGGAAAGCATTGAGTCATTTTTAGCTTTGGAAGGAAAGAAGCGTAGGGAGCTTTGGCAGTGCTTGTTCCTTATCCGACGGGACCACGGAGAAAAGTTAGGCAATTGTTTTAGAATAGGGAACTTCGTTCTTTTGGTTTCGTCCAATTCTTTCATTTATTTATTTGCCCTTTTTCCGTTTCTTCGGGGGGCGACGAAGACATAGCTTGTTTTCAAT